TGTAAATATTGATCCAAAGAATGACGAAGGCTTTATGATTATTTTTTGTACCGGGAAAGGGGAAAAAGTGTAGTGGTATTCTGTTGAATAAGATTGTCGCTTTTTTCTGCGAATCCACAGCGCTTTATTTCGTCATTTTCTTATCACTGACAAAGGCGATGTAGCCAGCAGGTGATATTATCACATTATCGAGCATAAGCATACTATTATTCTTCTTGTTATTACTAATATCAATGATTGGGAGTCTCTTGTAGCCACTCGTTACTTTGGTATCATATTATTAGTTTCTTGTAATCTGTTCACTCTCATTAAGAAAAACCAATCTGTGTATAGTTTATCAGAATGACTGAGTGATTTTATCCCCGTCCTCTGATGAATCTGTTCAGTTCACATCGAAGACACCATGATCTACAGTTTACGTTTTTTCGCATTGAGTGGATGCATTTTTGTGGGCATGAGGGAAATTCTAGAGGAATAGAATCGTTTGTTTTGCTCGAAACAGTTAACATTCAATAGGTCTCTGTTAGTTATATTAATGTCTATTGTGTTTTGAGCGCCTTGACTTCGGGACTCTGATATACTTGAGTCAGTCCAAAAGTAGTTGCGGAGGTATGATAGTCCTTCAAAGGATGGTTCGGTCATTTTTTTCCTATACAGCCTGATAGAGAAAAAAAGTTTTATTTTTCTGTGCTATTTGATTTTATTCAGACGAATTCTATGATCATAAAATTTCTATAAGACTTGCTTTGGTTGGGCGTGTGCTGGCTATACTATATCATATTTTGTGTTCCATACGCATAATATTCTTACCATTCTTGAGGGTGTGAGTGTGGATATTTTGTTGCTATGTATTGCTCTACACCCACATCCACATCCTTTAACGTAAAAATTTACTCACATAACGATTTCAAATAAAGTATCTCCTCGAGATATGAAATTTGCAAACGATACATGCCTCATAAAATATCTATAGACAGCTTCGTGTAACCTACGACCAACAATATGGAAAAGTTGATCAATGTATGATGTCATTGTAGAGCGAACGTTTTTATGAACTTTTACCCACTTCGTTTCGAAAAAGATTGAGTCATTGGATTTCTATGACTCACGGCAAATAGACTAAAGTTCATAGTTGAGGTCACTTTGTTGCTTCACAGCTCGTCATTTGAATAAGGTAGACGTATCAAATCTTTATTGAAGCTAGAGTTTATAGAAATATATATTTGAGAAAAACGTTTCAGTATTTTGTTTGACTAACATCTCGTAGGTAATACACAGCTTGCCATCTTCAGCGTGCATCCAAAAGTTGGTGTTTCAAAAAAGTAAAGCATTCGATAAAAGGTAGGATACCATATGTTCACTCATTGTTGACACGCTATTTTTAAACTCCAACTCATTCAGTATACGAGCTTTATTATCACAGACTAAGTAGAAATATTGGAAGAAAAAAGTTGAATAATAAAGTCTGTAGTGGAGCGGTGTCATTGTTACTATTGTTAAGAGTAATTCCATGCTTTCCCAGTTCAACTCTCGATGTTTCTAATACGCAAAGATTACAGGATGGAAAACTGTGAAAACTATGTTATCATTTTTTGACTTTTCAGATACGTAATGGAGAACCCATCGTCACCGGCGTTATCAAAGCTAATGGTTGGATCAGATTTAGAAGCAGTTCTTTAAGCTGATGCTACTATTTTCCCCAACTCTTGAGGGTGTGGGTGTGGGTGTGGGTGTATCAAATGAATTTACACACCCACACGCGCACCCACACCCACACCCACACCCACACCCACACCCACACCCACATCCCACATCCACACTCACACCCACACCCTCAGGATTTTTGAGGAAATAGCGATATTTTATAAAGGTTGACGGAAGTAAATTGGGGTCAGTGAATCTGAATCCGAAGTCAAATTTCGAAGAATTTGAGTTCAATTTTTTAGGTTAAGAGAAGGGCTTTTTTTTAGAAAATAACGATATTTTAAATAAGATGATAATAGACTATGCAGCTGCGGAAGTTTTCAAATTTTGGACGCATAATTGGACATTTTCACGGGTTGTCAACCAACAAAACATAAAGTTGTCACAGACTGTTTTCGTCTTTCGAATTTTGTGGAGCTCTCTTCGTCTTCGCTGATCATTTTCATGAAAATAGTTTTAAAACTTGATCATTAAATAACGATACTAAAGTCAAACGACTCTTTGACATCTAAGCTTCATCAATGCCAAAAGGTTGAGACTCTTAGTATTTTGACTTTACTATCGTTATTTAATGATCAAGTTTTAAAACTCTTTTCAGGAAAATGATCAACGAAGAGTGCTCTACAAAATCCGAAAGACGAAAACAGTCTGTGACAACTTTAAGTTTTGTTGGTTGACAATCCGTGAAAATGTCCAATTATGGGTCCACAATTTGAAAACTTCCGCAGCTGCATAGTCTATGATCATCTTATAAATGCGCAGATATATTCAGAAATCCCATTTTTTCACGGGCTTTCATTTGATATAAAATTCAATATGTTTTCTGCTTGAAATCATAGCGATGCCCCCGTGCAAAACAATTTTCCAACCTAGTAAATCGATGCGTCGTTCGGTTGCGCAGATTAAACTTTCAGAGGTTGTACGGCGGCGGCGGCTTAAGATGTCGAATAAGTATCATTGAATCATAGAAAACTTAAAAATCTTCTTGCTCAATAGCCAATAGTTTTTATTGTCAGTCAAATATAGAAAAACTTCACTTTATATTCCGATACAATAAGCCAAATACCTTCATTAAGAATTTGGAGAAGAGTACCTAAATTTCATTTAATCTATTTCAAAATCATGAAGAAGTTCGAAATGCATATACATATTGACGGTATTTTCTTACGAATGTGACGGCTTTAAAATCGTCAGGCATACATAAATATCTTTGATATCTTGTTCCATCTTTTTCTTTGTTCACCTATACTTGAACAAAGATATTAATATGTCAATGTCAACGATATTTTTATTATTTTAATTTATTTTATCTCTTTCTTTTGGTGCATTTCTGAGCGACATCTGTTCTATGAATGAACGATTTGAAAAATCTGATTGATTGATTGTTTCATGCTTTCTTTTTTTCTTTTTTTAATGCGATGCGAAGCAGAAGCATTTCTGTAGTCCGTCGCGAGTTTTTTAATGCGATGCGAAGCAGAAGCATTTATGTTATCCGTCGCGAGTTTTTTTTTTTTCTTTCTTTTTTACTTGAGATCGTACGCATCATTTTCGTCGTTTTGTGACTCTATGATCTCGAGAACCAAAAATCGTAGAAACCTCATTTAAACGCAAGATAGTAGTATCGAGATCGAACTGCTTACACCTGTTTTCGAATCTTTAATCTGACGTTCCGTTCGCTCACAAATGTGGTTCCGAAATGACGAAAATGAAAGAAATTTGTTGCAAGATAATTAAAGTGACGTCATGAACATATGTTAGCCACTATAGTCTATTCATTTACAGCTGATCTAAGATAATGAATCATGATGATAATTAATCGATCAATCGAAATCGATCCTTAAGAATGTATCGCTAAGTAAGAATAGAGTTTTCTCAGTGATGAATTTCATCATGTCGACATAAAAAGTATTCAAGATTTCTCTGAGCTGTAGATTTTTCGTGAACACCTGATTCAAGCTTCGCATCGCATTTCGTATTCGAGTAAAACTTGAATACCATCTAGTTCTTCAGGTTCATATTCGTTGAACATAATCAATTTTCCTTATTTTCGAAATAAAAATATCTTCATTTGCTAGTCTTTTGAACATTAAACATGTCCAACGGTACTGATCCAAGTTTGTTTTGTTAATTATCATTGATTATTGTTTATCAATATGATCTCTTTTTTTCTAGATCTGCAGCAATTAGACGATGAATATCTTCACTTTGCCTTTATCAAATTGGTATGAAAACTGATAATTCTTTTAAAGAAAAAAACAGGGTTCAATTTCTGTTTTTCTTTTTTGAACAAATCAATTAGACTCATCAGATTATCTTTATTGTACCCAGATCAAACAGTACGGCCGTAAGTTGGCCGTATTATCTGGCGCAGTAATGCGGACTGTCCTTTTCCTGAGATTACGGAAACCATATGATCGTATACCTTGACTTTCGTCCTGTTTTACGGCGCCGTATTACTGCGCCAAATATTACGGATAACTACGTACTATTTACGGTCGTAAGGGTGCCGTTTTGATACAGTTTGCGGAAAATACATGAAGTGTCAACGGAGCCGTATCGTTCGATCTGGGGAGAGAAAAATAGCTGAAATATTCGATTTATTTTTCCTTTTTTTGATCAATTTTTCAATTAAACGTTTTTTCATTTAGACTCCGCCATCGTCCTTAATTACTCAAATCAAAATTTCGTTATTTAGTCAATTTTTTATTTTTATTATTCATTGTATATGCGATATTAGGTTTTCTTTGTGCCTTTTATTCATATCCGTTAATAATGGGTCGTTATGATGTATATAATGATTATAGTGATGAAAAATTACATCAAATGTTAATGAATATGACAACAGACGACATATACTGTTTCCATTGTGTTCAATATCATATCGGTATCGAAGAATTAAAATCTTTTATTGAAAATAAGTCTATACATAGAGAACGAAATGAAAATCTCAAAACAGTTCGTACATTATTGAATATTCTATCCATAGTAACATCATCTCTAACATTTATTGTATTTGGGGGACCAAAATTGATCTTTTTCATATCTTTTTGTTCATCATTTTTAATCTTTGTTTCTATTTACGTGGGAAATATTTTATATGCTGTTATTTTTGAAACATCTGTTGTTCTATTATCTTTGATTGTATTTCTCAAACTGATTTATGCGATCCTGTTTGCAATTATTCTTACTGAGAAAAAGAAAAATCGTTGATATTTTTATTAGATAAGTTTCTTCTTTCTTTGAAAAAATTTTTAGATTTATTTTAAATTTTGATTTTAATCGTATTGTAAACGGTGATGTCATCTTATTCTGATGCCAATTATCATCGATCAATGATTTTTCGTAAGATTAAGTTAAAGTATTGTGAAAAATCCTTTTGAATTTATTTTAGAAAATCAAATTCGAATGAATTATATTCAAACATTGGTTTGTTCCTTTTTACAGTGAAAAGATCTTTTTCTGAATAAATCCTTTTTTTTTAGAATCCCAAACCACAAAATTTTCTTCTCAATCTAAATCGACGAAGAATAATTTGTTTAATTTTAATTTTATTGATTATTTATCTAAAACTCCTGATTGAAGCATGGAAAATGCTCAATGAAATTTCTTCTAAAGATGAATATTTACATCAACAATGGCTTTTTGAACAAGAGAAAATTGTTAATCAAAAGAAAAATTTGCAAGAATTTCTAAATAATTTAAAATCGTCTTCAAATGAAAGTACAAAACCTTGTAAAAAATGTTTTGATTCGATTTCAAAGTTTTATTCCAAAGCAATCGTAAACATCTATGAAAAAAATCAAAATATTAAAGAAGAATACAATCGAATAGTACTTCCATTACAATATCTCTCATCTCTTCTTTGTTTAATAAACAACTTTTTAATTCAAATTATCTTTAAAAAATGTTGGAAATTTTCTTTTCTTTCGAATATTCTTCTTATTCTTTGTCTTTGTATTTATGCCGAATTGTTCCTTCCTAATGAACCAAACATCTCTTATACTTTATTCATCGCTTGGTCAATTGTTATTTTTACAATTTATCTCTTAACTAAAGTCTTTTCAACCTTACTCATCATCGAACATTATCAATTAATGAATCTTCAAAATAATAATCAATGATCAAACTATTCAGCATTTTGTTTGTTATTTTCAAGAAAAATCTTTCTAAAGTTGTTCCGTTGCTCTACAATAATTGATTTAATTGAAATATGAATGTCAATTAGCTTTTCTTTGTGTTTTTTTAATAAAAAAAATCAAATTTTCTTCCCGTTGATCTGTCGTAATCATTCTCAATTCAATCCCCAAGCAGTTCAAATTACATATTTTCATTTAAACGATTCTCTTGGAAAATTATTTTGCCTATTTATATAAAAATAATCAACATTATATTTGCTTTGTTTCGATGATTTCATTGGCATTGAAAAGATCGATAACAGAAGTTGTCAAAATTATTTCTTCAAGCTAAAAACGATAAAAACCAAAGAATGAATACGCGAAATGTTTTTAGAAAAAAATTGATTAATCGGTCAGTTTTTTAGCGTATCAAAGTATAATTGACAATTTCAATGATCTTTCCAATGGTTATTTATAGGAGAAAATGAATGAAACATCGATATTAGACGAATATTTCGATCTGTTTCTTCAATAATGCGCAACAGGAACAATGAAAGTATGAATGTTCATTTGAGCAAGACTCAAGACAGTATTTACTCGATGTCAAGGTTCTTTCTCAGATAATTGCTAACTGTGAACTGTTAATTTGATGTGAAGAGGAAAATAAATCAATATTCTCTAATCAAATCGTATGATGAAGAGTTTTTCCAGATCAATCTTGAATATTTTTGAATTTATGGATGTTCATTTCAAGTCAAATAAGAAATCGTTCATAACCCGAAATTAATCTTGAGAGAATGAAATAGTGATTATTGCTAATTGAATATTCAATACGTAAAAGAAAGATTTGTTTCATTCTACTGTCAAACATCAATCCGTTGAAGCAAAATCAGATCAAAGATTTTTCATACTTAAAAATGTTGTGTTTATTCTAATGAGAAACTTAATTATGTGAATAGTAATGCTGTTATTTTTGTATTTGTTGCATAATATTTAATATCTACAGTTGAAATTGATCTTGAAACCAAAATGACAATTGAAAGACAAGAAATAGATCAAATATATTATAAACTGGATTTAACCATTAATTCATTATCGATTGGTTATTATAGGCGCGTTTATTTAAAACTGCTTATTAATGCGGTGCGAAGCACAGCATTTATGTAGTCCGTCGCGAGTTTTTTTAATGCGATGCGAAGCATAGCATTTCTGTTATGCGTCGCGAGTTTTTTTTTTCTTTTTTACTTGACCGTACGCATCTTTTCTGTCGTTTTGTGACTCTATGATCTCGAGAACCAAAAATCGTAGAAACCTCATTTAAACGCAAGATAGTAGTATCGAGATCGAACTGCTTACACCTGTTTTCGAATCTTTAATCTGACGTTCCGTTCGCTCACAAATGTGGTTCCGAAATGACGAAAATGAAAGAAATTTGTTGCAAGATAATTAAAGTGACGTCATGAACATATGTTAGCCACTATAGTCTATTCATTTACAGCTGATCTAAGATAATGAATCATGATGATAATTAATCGATCAATCGAAATCGATCCTTAAGAATGTATCGCTAAGTAAGAATAGAGTTTTCTGAGTGATGAATTTCATCATGTCGACATAAAAAGTATTCAAGATTTCTCTGAATTGCAGATTTTTCCTGGATGGAGATTCCTGCTTCGCATCGCATTTCGTATTCGAGTGAAACTTGAATACCATCTAGTTT